GGGAGGTCCCCTCACCACGTACAGGGGTTCTATTTTTGGAAAGGCTCCCTTATATACACTTACTTTTATATATGACATGAATAATCAATTAGAAGCTCAGAATGTCCCCCTAGTGACTTTCTCAGTCATTTTAATGGACTTTGTGCCAATACTTTCTTTTGAACCAATATTTCAACAAGGTAGGGTGTGTCTTTAGTCTGCTCGAAATTTCATATTTTTTTCCATTTTAGATGTTTTTCATGGACAACGTTGGTGGGGATTTATTTTCTGGTCTTGTATCTGCTTTCTCTGGTAACATCACTTGTTCAGGTTTAGAAATGCATGGAAGTTAGACTCTCCCTACTGCATTTGGGACAACCAATGATGTGGATAGCACCTGTGTTCTGAAAGGGCTGATGTTACTGTTTTTTTTATATAAAGTTACAAACACTCTCCAACTCAGAACAAATAACTTGAAAATAAACAGAGAATTTCAAAATCACTTTATGTGATTCAAAAACACGTGTTCAGCATTCTGAGCACAGATAGTTTGTCTTCTTGTTATTGGACAAATAACAACCAATTTTTACTTTGATTGAACATTACATCTAGTCTCTTTTCAACTTAGTCGAGTCAAATTTTCAGGTTTAACTCTGCAACACATATTTTGGTCCTTACTCCTGTTAATTGCAGTTACTACATGAATGGTAAGTTAGTGTAGCTGAGACCACCACATGAATAAGTTTATTTAGTTTTCTGGACATATAGCATTTCAGTGAATAATACACAAGTATGCTTGCCCTGTAATGACTTTACTAGCTATTACTGCAGTTTCTAAAATCTTCCAGCCATGAAATAACCATAGAGTTTTGTGAATCTTCCAATAACAGTTCACTTAACACATCACTTTCTCTTCTGCATAATATAATTTTTTCAATCCATATCAACAAATAATCATCACCTTGTTTAAGTTACAAGATATATATATATATCCAAAAACAAAAGTTAACAGCTACAAATAAAATCAGATAAAGACAAAACTTAAAAACTCTTAATCACACAGACAAGCTTATCAATTATGAATCAAGAATTTGCCAAGATTTACCAACTATGAATCCAACAGCAACCCAAGATCCAGCTGTTCCAGTACTCTTGATGTGATGTGTAACTGTAAACACAAAGAGTGTTTGGTTTTATATAAATTATTTTATTAAAATAGTTTATTACAAAGCATTAATACCAATACTTTAGCAAAGAACAAGAAACATTTTAATACATGCTATAAAATTTTCTAAATGTCTAATAATTACTTTGCTATTAACAAGTTAATAGATTTCAGTAAAAGCAACAAAAACAACCACAAGTGCAAAAATATATAAATTACAGTGTTTGGTTTCTCATAAAAATATTTTTTTTTAAAACTTCATGTAATGTAAGTCTCAAACAATATACAACAAACATCAATTTTTGCAATCACATATCAGAATGGTAATATGAAGAGAAGACTCCTTGATTGACTAGAGACTAGAAATCTCCCAAAAGTGGAGGAAAGCTCCCCAACCCTCTAGAGATGAGTCTGTGAACAGATGTAAATCCAGAGTAGGAAGAGGAAGCAGCATCTCTACCCTGGTCTGGTGTCTGTCTAGCCACCAAACCAGGTCAGATCTGATTGGGGAATGAAGGGTAAAAGGGTAGTCCCAGTAGAAGTTCTACTGACGGGAATGTATAAGAGACTGAACCAGGGGAATGAGGGCTTCCAAGGATGCTCAAATTCCCAAAAGAGATAGAACCTCTCAAGCTGTGAGAGAATGAAAGGTGAGGGCCTTGTGAACTGCTTGCTACATATCCCCAAGATGAAGAGGAGAAGGCTGGGCCTAATTGAGGTAGGAATGAAGAAAATTCCCAAAAGAATGGGGAATTGAGTGAGGGGTAAGAACAGACATCCCTCTTTCATCAGAAATCCCACCTGTGCTGCTCTCTGTAGGAGCCCAAGATTGTGGTCTCTGGACTGTGAATGGGAAGAAGCGAGTAGGAGCCAGTCATCCATGTAATGGTGAGTGCAAAGACCCATGGAGTGAAGATGTTGGGCAAGAGTTTGTACCACCCGACAAAACACTTAAAGAGCCAAGGTTAGTCCAAACTGTAGGACCCTGAACTGGAACACTCAACTTTGATCAATAAAAAATACTATCAACAATGTGGGCACTGTGGGGATGAGCCCCAAATTGTAGATTACAAAGAGAAAATTTGGTTTTTAGTATCAAGAATGTAGGAAAGGAGCCAAAGCAAGGTTCAGCCCTATAAGTGGTAAAGAAATTTACAAGTCAGCAACGTATCAGAGCAAAAAAGTCCTACACTGCAAAAAGTAGGATTATAAGACACATAGTTAGCAATGATGAAAAAATTTATCCAGATAGAACAATGATTGATATGTTACTAGTTGTAATAACATGCAACATACAAGCTATCTAAACGAGCCTAGTTAACAAAGTTCTTATGAATACTGAACTGACAAATCGTCTAAATTTACCTTGTCCATAAAGTACGTAATAATAATAATAAACATGCAAACCAACAAAAATTACCAAAGCAACAATCGATATCTAACACACAATTCATCTAAATTAACTTAGAGGGCAAAGGACACATAAGTAAGGCTAACTCTGATGATAATTAGGATTATAAGGAATATATTTAAAAATGACCAGAAAAAAGTTAGATAGAACAATGAATTAGGTGTGACTAATAGTACAGAAATGTAACTTACAAACTATCTAGAAACATCAAGTTAACCCTACCAACACCAGTCATGAGTCAAAGGCCACGTCATCACGTTTGACCCGCGTTCAAAATTTTATTGAACTACTATTTTATGAATGTATATCAATAAGTTTGGTATCAAATAGTAGATTATAATGTAAATTTTAGTATTATTCATTAGTTAATTTCTTAATTTAAAAGTAAATATTAAATCCTAAATATCGATTTTTGTGTGTCGTGGTATGTTTTATGTAGCATTGGTTTAAAATGCTTGTGATGTCCAAATACAAAGTCTATTGTTTCTTATGAATTAGATACTCAAATTACCGATATTGACATGCAAAAAGGTAAAACAAGAACCTCCTATCTTTTATATTTTCTGAAAATACCTGCTTACGTACACCTACTTCACCGAATGACATGTGTATAACCAATTGAAGGTTCAGAATGCCCCACTAGTAGTTTTCTCAGCCTCTTAAAAGTATTTTTGCTGCAAACTCTTTCTTTTCATGCTAGACTCTAAGTGGTAAGGTAAGACAATATTGAGCTCGCAATTTCATATGTTTTTAGACCCAAATACAGCTTAGTTACTAAGCTTGAAAAGTTATAGTGGAATTCTGTAGTGTTGATATAGTAATTTATGAATTTTGGTTATTTCAAAATATACACATAAAACCTGAAAAAAAAAAATTCATTTCACATCCTCCACATGCAAAATTTGATAAGGCTTAGCAGCCTATGGCAAGCAGAAAAAACAAAGTTCATAACTAGAAGAGATAATTGTTTGTTATACTTCTTTATTTACTGCTCTATGTTTTACAAAAAATAAGTTTAGGAACTTATTTGTAAATAGTAATAATGTATAAACATATGTGTTATAACTGAAATGTGACTGTATTTTACAAAACACTAGTCCACTAAAACACAGCCAAGACAGATCACCTTGTAAAAGCCAGTTTTATATTCTTGGATACAATAACGAGTGTACATGCACCACGTCATTGCAACTTCTGTAATGTGAGCCAGGCACAGCTGAAAGGTCAATATAATAAAAATAATAAATATATATAGATGTATAATGCTATGAGATTTAAGCTATTTAGACTAAACATTTGTGTTTTTATTTTATAATTAGTCATTCTAGAGCAAAAAAAGCATAATTTATATTTATTTCCTAATTTTCTATGGTGGTTATGAGGTCAGTCAAATCGACTCAACCTGTACAGAGATACAGTAGTGAAAACTACGGATAAAATATATTTTTTTCTAAATTTTTTGATAATTATCTGGAGGTTATAAAGATTTCATGCATGAAATTTGAAAATTTTCTTATGCATAAAAGTATTTTTAATTTTAAAATCAAAATTACTTCGTGTGTTGGATAGTCAACATTTGAAAAGAAGAAAAGCCACAAGAAAAACATTACTTAAGAAATCTTAAAACTTAGTATACAATATATTATATTTTTCATATGAAACCTTGTAATGTTTACTGTTATTATGCAGAATTTTGTGAAGATAAGCTTACTAATTTAAAAGTTTTAGCATGAAAACTATAACAAGAACAAAATGATTAGGAGGTCAGTCCCTGAGACTGAACCCATGCCAAAAGAGTTAAAGTACTTATTAATATTGAACTGACAAACCCTCAAAATTTACTCAGTCTACAATGTACATAATATTAACGACCTTGCAAAATGACTAAAATTACCAAGAAAAACAAAGTAATAATCAATATCTAACTTACAATTCATGTAAATTAACTTGGACAACAAAGGACACATAAATATCTAACTTATCAAAGTTGAGCATGAAATACTAGAATCTCCCATGTGTAAAGAAGGATAAACCCACACAAAGGGCATCTGAGCCGCGCCTACCATTGGCATAACCACCACGTGTGAAGTGTAGAGGTCAAAAAGCTTACCAGAGAACCACTGGGAGAATTGGAAGCAATATGAAGAAAGGAGGAGAAGAACAAACCTCCATCAAAGTAAACAACGTGGCATCACAGCAACTGGAACAGGAAAAAAAAACAACTAGTGAAATCACCCACATCTCAAACATAAAGCAAAACTAGAATATATGTTGAAAGATGACCTGATTAACTACCTTTAATAAAAAGGGAAGGGGAAAACTCTTGAAGTGTGACAGACCAAAATAAGAATGTGCCAGAAAAAGAGAGTTCAAATAGTCTTCTCCTTGATGTATTCTTCTTCAGAAACATTGTCAAGCTGAAAAGAAGAAATCACTGGTCAAACATATGAATCTAGCACCCTATGAATTAAGGCCTGTACCTTCTCTGCAGATAAAGTCAAACCCGATTTCTGGGAAGATGTACCAGTAGCATTTTCGATTGTAATGGGAATTTACATATTAAGATATCTTATAATTCAGTAACAAGAAACAAATGCAAAAATTAATAAAACAATTCTTGAAATAATTAATTGCAAACACAGTAAAAATAAAACTGCTGAAAAAATAAAATTCTAATGTCAAAGGAGCACAATCATAAATGAGAGCTATTTACAAAAAATCATGTTTAAACAATGCTGTGCCAATCAAGAAAGGTGCCATGATACTATTGGTGGAGAGTAATCACATGCTATGTACATGTTCATTAGTGGCACAAAATTGGTGGGGTATATAGACTGGTGCACTGAGCGTAAAAATCTTTTCAGCAATGCTTAGAAGGCAGAAAGAAGACAGAAGTAGCTTTGTGTGAGAGGATGTAAAACCGCATTGGAATAAGTACTTCATATTAAATTCTGTACTTCTCAAAGGGAATAGAGATGACCTAGAGAGCAAATGTTACAGTTTTCATTCTAGGGGAGATTAAGAAATTTTTAAAGTAATTCCTTATAAAATTTAGAATTCAAAACTTATATAATATTAAAATTTGGCTTATTAACTACATTTTGATGTCAAGTTTAGTTGTATATGTTGATAATAAAGTAGTTTAATTAAATTTTGAAAGTAACTCTGTAAAAGGTTATGAAATGCACATTTTGAAAGGGTCAAGCAGATATTTTTAGCCAAATGTGAAGTCACACCAATTATATCATCTTTTAATAGCTTTAACCACATCATGACTAGTGAACACCTTTCTGGTTTTGAGTCCACAACTACTTAAACAATTTCAAATTTTAAGAAAGTATAGCAATCCTAACTCTATTTCAATATCTAGTGCAATTAGCAAAGAAAAAAAATAATTTGATCTTTGATCTCTGTGCAGTTTGGAAAGGTAATGGTTGTAAATAATGCACTTACCTTTTTTTTTTTTTAATTTTCTGCCCTCCCAAAGTATAAGTTATATTTTCAGAAATTGTCATCCATTATCTATGTTTTGTATCTCACAACTTTCCTTTCTGTTGATTTTATTTCTAAAACCCTGTGTGGCTAGGCTTTTACAAGTAAAGAAAAACTTCAAAAAAGGAAGTAAATGTAGGGATGGCTAATATTAATCCTTCAAAAATAATGCAAACAAGATAGTAGATATGGAATTTACATCATCCCTACATAAATGGCACTGGCTCACAGTGCAGTACAATGTTAACAGACAAAAATAGGATAAATTAAACTTAATTGTGATTTAATACATATATATACATATATTGGTGTACTTTGGTGACAGATTTTCTTGTAGGCAGATTTTGTTAAACAAGACCG